TGGGTGATGGTCACCAGTCTAGCCAAGTCAAGCATCTTTGGGTGATGGTCACCAGTCTAACTCCCCAACATTGTTTATTACTCTGCTGCAATTGTCCTTCTCAACACTGCTCTTTTTTTTATGGTTAGGGACATCTTCTAGAACCTACTTGAAAATACCTGGTTAGTATGTAGATATTGTTTTTGGTTAGGGACATCTTCTGGAACCTACTTGAAAGCACTTGGTTAGTATGTGGACATTGTTTTTGGTTAGGGACATCTTCTGGAAACTTCTAGAAAATACCTGATTAGTATATGGATATTGTTCTTCACTTCAAGCATTTACTTTGTCAGAGATAAATCTTGTTCGACCTCGTTTACAGCTCACTTTTTGTGTCATGGGTTTCCTGTCACGATCATATCCTCTGGAACATTCCAATTATTTTACAACTTCCACTTGCACATCAGCTTCAAACTGACACTTGTGAAGAAAAGCAGTATGTTCTTACTGAAATTGCAATAGAACAGCTTGATAGCAAGTGCCCAATTTTAAGCCAAAAATTACTCTCACTAGCCACTCAAAAATCACTGTATCTTCATAATTCATATCTGTTTCAGGATTACTCTAAACTGTAAGATAGGTCATAAAATAATCTGTATTCACAAAGTCAGAGATTACTTGTTAACTTGTAGAAAATGAGTTACAAAATATGAAATCCATTCCAAAATGTTGATATTGTTCTTGTGAAACTGGATATAGATTGTAAGTGCTGTCCAACATGGAGTATTATCCTGTTCATATAACACATTAAGCATACAGACTTAATATACAGCCCTCAATCCAGTACACAGAATATAACCTACAGTATACACCCCCTCAATACACAAATACTACAATAATGATCAAATTGTTTGCGTACCTGCCTTAGGGCTAACATTTTCTCATCTCTTTCAAAGAGAATTTGGCATGACTTGGTAGGTAGGGTGCTCAAATTGCAATCTTTGGGTCGTAATTTGAATCCTCATTGCAGAACATGCTCGCCCTTTTTGTAGTGGGGGTGTTATAATGTGAAGGTCAATCCCACTATTTGTTTTTAAACAAGTAGCCCAAGAGGTAGTGGTGGGTGGTGTTTACTAGCTACCTTCCCTCTAGTCTGTCACTGCTAAATTAGGAACAACTGGCTTAGATAGCACTCGTGTAGCTTTGTGCAAAATTTAAAACAAACTAGATGGTTCTTATTCCATAAAATTTCTGACTGGTTTTCAAAACCCCAAAGTGGTGTTAAGCAGTCTTCAGGATAATGTACAGTTTGAGTATTCCAGCACTTCCAAAATCTGAAGAGAATTTTGTGTATACATTAAAGTCACTGGGAATTATCTGCCTCATATAGTGCACATGTCTATCTATGCTGGATATGGTAAAGTCACTTAGGATTTTATATCTCATACAATGCATATGTCTACACTGGTTGCAGTAAAGTCACTTAGGATTTTGTGTCTCATACAGTGCATATGTCCAGACTGGTTACAGTAAAGTCACTTAGGATTTTGTATCTCATACAGTGCATATGTCCAGACTGGTTACAGTAAAGTCACTTAGGATTTTGTATCTCATACAGTGCATATGTCCAGACTGGTTACAGTAAAGTCACTTAGGATTTTGTATCTCATACAGTGCATATGTCCAGACTGGTTACAGTAAAGTCACTTAGGATTTTGTATCT